AGGCAGTTTCTCATAAAACGAAACATATATCTATTTTGAGGTACAACATTTTACTCTATTTATCCAAGAGAAATGAAAAGCTATGTCCACAAAAAGACATGTTTAAGAATGTTCGTACAAGTTAAAAACTGGAAAAACTCAGTAGGAGAACAAATGAACAAATTGGGGTATATTTATGCATTGAAATGCTATTTAGTAGTGAAAGAGAATGAGCTACTGATAGAACAACGTGGATAAATTACAAAAATATTATGCTGGGCAAAAGAGCAGATACTGGATGATTCCATATTTATGAAATTCAAGAATAGGCAAAACGAATCCATGGTGATAGAAATCAGAACAGAGAAGGAGGTGGGGGGATGGACTAAAAATGTGTATGAAGGAACTTTCTAGAGGGATGGAAATGTTCTATATATTGACTGATAGTTTGACTTATTTACTTAATATCTATGTATTTTATGTAAATTATGACTCAACTTTAAAAATGGGTCTAGCCAGCTAGGTCATAGACTTGCTGCATTTTGCTGTCTGTCCCACTCTGGGTGATGCTTTCCACACACTGAACTCACCCCTTCACACCTACTTAGGTTTTTTCTTTCTTTTTTTTCCTGTCACGGGCTTCTTGGCTACCATGGTATTCAGTACCCGGGCTCCAAGTACGGCTCTGATCTCATGTCCAACATTACACTGGTCATGGTCAGTATTACTGCCTTCTATGGCCTGATGGGATGGTCCTCACTGCCAAATCCTGAAGAAGAAAATCTCACTTTCCTCGGCTGAGTACCCGCTTGAGTGATCTGGCTGCTGGATTTGTGGGAACCACCAGTGCATGGGGCTTTGCTCAGCAGCCCTCTGTGAGAGTGGGAACCCGATTCCCATTTTCCCTGAGGTACTCATCCTCTTGTGTGGTCTCATCACCACCCTCATTCTCTTCATAAAGTAGTCTGTTTCTATGTCCATCGACCAGAATATGATATAGAGGCCATCCATCCTTACCTAGCAGGAACCACCTGACACATATGCATCGGGGTAATTGTCCCACTATACAGATGCACAGTGTTCTGGTGCCCTGTTTATTTGTTGCTTTCCAACCTTGCCCCCAAATCCCTCATTGCAGTGGACATCTGGGTCTTCTCTGGCCAGCAAAGATGCAGGCCTCTGTCTGCTCTCCCACATTCATCTGCCCCTCAATGCTCTGTATGTACAGATTAATTAGACAACTTTTTCATCACTTTATTTTTTAATAGCTTTGACATTTTCATAGGTCTAAAGAGAAGACACCACTGTTGACCTAGTATAGAGTTATCTTAGGTATAGTACTATATTGGAAGATTAGCTAAATGCTCTGATGCCCTTTGGAAGTAACATCTCCACTCTTGAGCTGTTGGCTACTTGGGGATCTGGAGAACAATGTGGTAGACCTCAATGGTCCTTGAGTCAGGGTTCTATCTAGTAAAGTATTTCAACATGATTGGAAAAATAAATGTGGCTGTTTCTTTTAATTGTAAAGAAGAACTATATAGAGCAATATTTTGGTATTAAAATTGTTAAGTCAATTTTTGTTAAAAGTAGATAGACAGCCAGTAGGTAAAATTCCTTTCTGAATCATGAATTTGAATCGTTACTTCTCCTGAAAAACACTTCATTGAATTATTGCCTAATTTGCAGCATCTGAAGATAAATATATACCCCCATGGTATATATTAGGGTTCCTGTTTTAAAAATCCAGAATGTGTCCTAGACTCTGAAATATAAATTTGTTAGCTCAACAGTGCTTGGGTTAATCTAAAATCAAAATACTACAAATAGTGTTTTGTGCTACATTTATATGAAAACCCAGGTTTAAGATTGCTTTGCTATTACCAAGAGCACAGCCCTACAGAAACACCTTCACAAGATCTGATGTTCCAAGCATTTGAATATTCCCCATTAAACAGGCAAAGGAATCCCATTAATGGGTCTGTTCGTGTTCAATTTTATACATAACATCAATATAAATTGTCTACATAGGGGCCGGCACATGGCTCACTTGGGAGAGTGTGGTGCTGATAACGCCAAGGTCACGGGTTCGAATCCCATATAGGGATGACCAGTTAGCTCACTTGGGAGAGAGCATGGTGCTGACAATACCAAGTCAAGGGTTAAGATCCCCTTACCGGTCATCTTTTAAAAAAATAAAAATAAAAATAAAAATAAATAAATTGTCTACATAAAATTGAGAAGCTGACAGGTCTTTTCTTCTTGAAAGAGAGAAACTCAAGGCTTTAATTTATTCTGTTCAACTCTTTCTAATCATAAGTATTATATGAGAAGTTGTAATTTGTACAGGCCAATAAAGCAGATCAATTCTACCTGTTTAAGTGCTAAAGAGAAATGTATCACTTTAGCACAACAAATGGAAAAAGTACTGGATTGGGAATCAGTAGAGCTTAGGTTTTACTTTAGGCTCTGCCAGTAACAATGTGACCGTAGGCAAATCATTTAAACTCCGCAGGTTGAGCTCTGGTCTCCAAGGATTCTTCTGTGGTTTAACTGGATGAGCTTGCAATTAAGTGAGAGGCCCCTAGATGGTGGTGGTGTTCTGAGTTACACTTTGTATTTTTTTTCCTTCTATAATTACACTGAAGTAAATAGGCATAGATTAATAAAATGATTTCCCATCAGTTCTGAAAAAAGTCACTGTTAAGAATTCATTCAGTGGCATTCAAAATGGCATTGAATCATGAATCAGATAACCTATGTGCATTTGACATTACAAGGAATAAACCATTAACGATTATACCAAAGTGAATATATTCTCTTAAAATTAATCCATATATCCATCAGTATTTTCTCTAGGTATATTTATCTAAGCTTGAGAAACTGAATAAAAACTAAACAATGATTGTTAACAGTACTGATTTATGACTCTATAGAAAAATGATATTTTTTTGAAATCCCAGTTCTAATAATAAATTTTGATAAATACACTGATTTATTTCATTCCAAATGTTACAGACTGTAATTAATACCTGTGATTTTCATGAGCACAATAATAGATATATTCCATTATCCCTCCAGCCACGTAAATGAGAGAATCTTTTAAAGAAATATGCTGTCTTTTAGTGTTCAGAAAGGTAAGAATAATAAATGGCTTCTCTAGTTTTAACCAATCAAAGAAAAATGCTTCAGAGATTCTAGTTTGAGGAGGCTTAAAAGAGCAATATCATGTTTTCACCTAAAATTCCTGAAAGGAATTTTTTAAAAATTTCACTACTATATGTGAAAGTCATCCATCCATCCATCCATCCATCCATCCATCCATCCATCCATCCATCCAAACTAACCAACCTACCTTTATTGAGCCTGTATGGTGCAAAGATAAATAAGATAAATAAGATACTATCTCCAATCTCAAAAAACTTAGTCTAGTATGAGAAAGGGTCTTTGAAAAGTTCGGTTCAGTTTATTATAGTGTCAAGTAGATTTACAACTATTGCACTCATCATTCTGCTGACAGAAGGCCAGAATTTAAGAGGGATATTTTTCCCCAATAATGATAGGTTTTCAGAATCTTCAATGTAAAACGTTAAAATTACATAGGCCAAGATATCTACCTCATGTCCCGTTCCACATCCCTACCCTTCTTGCTGTTGAACGGCTTGCTGCAAATGGAACTGAGTTCAGATAATGCTTTACGGATATGTCTCATAAAATTACTTCTGAAGGAAATTTGACAAGAATCTTTTTGTACTCTCCTCCTTACCCAAAACATGTAAAGAAAACAGCTCCCATATTCCAAAATCAAATGTAATCATATAACTAGGAGATGAACTCTTTTAGTCAAAGACCAAGTAAATATTGCTTCTTTACAGAACTCCATGGAGTGGTCACATAACAGTGTGACCACCGTCTACCGAACTTTTTGGACAATGTGTAAAAACAAAAAAGCTAAAAAGTGGTCCAGCACATGAAACTCTTCTCAAAAATAGAAGAAAGTCAAGAACATTGGTGGGAAAGTGTTTTACATTTCCAATGAAATTTTATTCCATTGATCTGCTTGGGAGATTGTCTTCAACCTGTTTAGCTTTAGTATGTAAGTGTAATTGATTCAGTCATGTAAAGAACCACTTTTACCTTTTCATCTCTTTTTTTTGTGTGTAACTGGCAGTATGGGGATCCGAACTCTTGACCCTGGTGTTATAACACCGAGCTCTAACCGACTAAGCTAACTGGCCAGCCCTTATCTTAAGCTTGGAACGTATAACAATGGATAGCAGGAAAGTGGCTTTTTATTTACTCTAATAATTGTGCAGAAATGAGCTAAGGAAAAACGAAAACAAAAGAGTACCAACTTTCAGTCGTCTTAAGTTATTTTTCACTCTTGATTATATTGTGAAGAAATGAACTGTGGGGGTTTGGCATTGTTTTCCATCTTAACAGTTGTTCTGTATTCTATTATATGTGATTCGTAATGTACTACTATAACAAGAAACAGCTTTTATGTATTACTGGAGTAATGCAAAGAAAATGAGTTTTCCTTTGGGTACCAGTAATTGTCAAAGGAATGATTGCAGATTCAGAAAACGTGCTTTGTAATAACCCTGCTAACATAAAGTATACACTGAGAAAAAAAGTAAGTATGGCATATATATATATATGGAAGGGTTAGTCGTATTAATTAGCAAGGCATTTCAGGGACGGTTTTTGTTCTTTTAACTAAGTAAGATACATCAAATTTTGATCCCCTTCAAATCATTGGACATATGGGAAATACTCAGTAACACAAGGAGCTGATTTCACTTTATGCTCCAACTAGTCAATAAACTATCCCTCCTGAAGCAAGGATTTGCCCTGGTGATGAGGCTAATGTGCTCAAGCAGTTAGAATTAATTTAAGTATCAAAAATGAAATTTAGATTACCAACTATGTCCTGATAGTTACAGCATGTAGAATATCAAATGTCCTTTTTTTAAAGTAAAAAATGAAGAAGCATGGTTAATTCACTTGTGCTGATTAAAACAGATGTCCAAGTGCATCGTATGCTTGTAAGCCTCCCCATGCTGCCACGTCCCAGATGCTTTCCCTGGGGGATGTGTATCTGCCTTGCTCATCCCACTAGATGTTTTCTCTGATAGAATCCTAGCTGACAGGTTTCCATGTGCACCTTTCTACTGTGAATGAAAGCTAACTACAAAATCTAGAAGTTTTCTGCATTCAGAAAATTCTAGTGTACCATGTACAGCTTAGATATTTCTCTTTCGGTTTAAAAAAATAGTGCAAAAATGTATCTGATAGTCAAAGTGATAGTTCAAGTGAGTTCTTGTGCCAAGGAACACAGTCAAGCTTCACCTTTAGCTGACTTGTAGAAACTGAACGTAGTTTTTGGGAAATATTCCAGATTTTCCCATTAGTTCTCCGCTCATCCAGTCATCATCTACAGATTCCAGCTCTGTGATTATATCTCCAGCCTGTAAGAAGACAGGAATTGGAAATAATTATTGGTTTCTGTTGAGTATAAGCACGGTAAGTAGCCTACCTGGAGAGGCACAAATAATCTTCTCTTTATAGAACTCATTTATCTTGATTTGCTAAAAGGATTAAATGGGGCTGGCCCGGTGGCGCACTGGATAGTGCGCCGCTTGGGAAGTGCGGTTGCGCTCCCGTCCGAGGGTTCGGATCCCACATACAGACCGGTTCCCGCTCACCGGCTGAGCAGGGCGCGGGAGCGACACCAAGGGTTGCAATCCCGTTGCCGGTCCCCGGTCTGGTACGGGGGCAACACTGAGGGTTGCAATCCGTTGCCGGACACGGAAAAAAGACAAAAGACAAAAAAAAAAATAAAATAAAATAAAAATAAAAGGATTAAATGATATAATACAAAGATGATCTATACATAATGATGCCATTTGTTCTATGCCTCTTGTCCTCAAAGCTCATTCCTTTGCCACTGTCAGGCTTGCTGCACTTTGATTTTCCTGCTTATATTTTGTATCCTCCAAATTCACCACTCCTAATCTAAAATCCCTCTTGAATAAATAACAATACTAGCTATCATATATATATATATATTTTTTTTTTCCTTTTTTTTTTTTCTTTCATCTAATAATTATTTATTGAGCACCTGCTATGTGGAAGACACTGTTCTGGGTACTATGGATATAGCAATGAATAAAGGCCTCATCCTAGAGTGGGAAGACAAATAAGCTGGCAGAGGGGGACAGAAAGTATGGTGTTGGGAACTCAGGGCAGTCAGGGAGGGCCTCACTGAAGGGGACATTGAGGCAAAGACCTGGAGAAGAAAGAGTGAGCGACACACTTACTGTATGCCTTGCCCTAATCTATGTACTTTATAGGAACTAACTCATTTCAACAATAACACATCCTAGAGATGAGTACGGTTATTATCCTCATTTTAGAGAGGTATTTTTATAGATTTTTTTTATTTTAAAGAAAAGGAAACTGAAACTCAGACTGATTATGTAACTTGCCAATGTTGCGTATTTGGTTAGTGGGAGAACCAGGATTCAAATCTAGTGTGATTCCAGGGCTTGTATTGCTAACCACTAGGATATGTGGCCACCACATTTTACACTGGATCTTTTTACTTAGAAAGTCTTTTACTATAATTGCCTTTTATCAACATACTAAGCATTTCGCACTCTGCATTTATTCTTGCACACAACGTTATTTCTCTTCTACCATTTTGGTTTACTCCATTTCTCTATAGCCAAAATATCAAATTTGCATTATTCCTGTCTTAAAGAGCATTCCCTTGACTCAAAGCACTGATTCATCCTCATTAGATTAGTCAAAGTGGCTGCGCATCTTACTCATGTGCGAATTACAATTCCTTCAGCAGATGAAGACATAGCTATTTTGTTTTTTATGGTTTCTAATCATTTCTTAGAATCTGGATTTAAGATTCTACAATGGTATAAGATGACCCTGGCTACTTTTAAGAATATCTTTATTGGATGAAATGGACTTATTTGTAGCCCTAGTACACTGCCCCCTAGAAAAATGGTTTCACTTAAGGCTTTTCTTTATGGAAAATGGAAATGAAACAGGAACATGCTATCAGATACCATTAATTTACTCTACTCTGCTAAGATTCATAAAAATTCTGGCTATTCAAAGTTTCTGTTATAAATAAGTTCCTTCTGGTTCCTAAATTATAATACAGTAGTTGACTGAAGCTATTTTTCTTACTTTTGGTCCATACCTACATACTATATTAGTTTCCTGAGGGCTAGGACTATTGTTTTCAAAATAAGTTCAATCTATGAGCATTCTATGGATATTTAATAAAATATTAATGACCAACAACACTGAAAGCAGTGCAGAATCCCATGACAAGAAAATTCTAGAACTACTGTAGTCATAAAATGAAGACAACATATTTTCTGGAGGATAATATGAATTTTATTAATTATACTGACATAACTTAAACGAAGGCCAAAATAACATCCAAAAAACTTGAATATAGATTCTTCACTTGCACTCACATTTTATGTAAAGATGAATAATTTTGAAGCACTGACTCTCAAAACTGAAAAGGACTAAGGGAATAGCTTCCAATATTTTGGATTTTAAGGACCAAGACATTGGGGGGAAAAAGGAATTGATATACGGTTAACAACTTCTGCATAGTTAAGACAGAAGAATACCTATCATTTACTAACAATACTTTGTAATAGAAATGACGATATAAAAAAGATACGAGAACATTCTAGCATTCAGAACAAAGGAAAACTCCATTCCAAAATAGCAACCTTATCCTGACATATTTCAGCTTGCCTCCCTTAGTGCCCCAAAGCCTGCACATACCTACTATCACCTTATTTTCCTCATTTTATTGTAGACAAATGACACCCTTGTTTGGGCACCACTGTTTTAAGTCTCATCTCATCTAATCACTCCTGATGCTTTCACTCTTTCCACAGCATCCCTGTCTCTCACTATTTTCAGTGATGAAGAATTTACCACAGTTGACAGAGGCTATTTTGGCAGCAGTGACTACTACCACCACCTTCCTTCCTTTAAGCACAGTCCCAAAGCACTACCCTGGGTGCTTTCTTCTGACCATGGTCCAATTGTGGACTGGGGAAACAGAATCATGGAAATATTCTCTTTTTACTTTAAGTAAAAATAAGAGGCATTTATTCAGTGAAGTAAGATTACGGTTAAATTTTAGGCTTCTCAAAAAACCTTTGCAAAGTAGCTCAATGTTTTGGGACTGTTTCCCCAAAGCTCCGGTGAGTTCCTTTGTGGTCAAGAATCCAGTTTCTTATGAGACTACAATGGCAAATTGTAGCATGTGCCATCTGAGTTTTCCATCAATCTCAAAGACACGTCAGTAGCAGGCTGTGAGGGCCATGTAAAGGATCACCCTTTACTAGGGCTACTAATGAACCCCAGTATTACTGAGGTCTGAGATTACAAGGCTAAGGAATAAGGAATTACCTTGGGGATTGTGAGGTTATTAAGCCAAAGTTTTCTCTAAGTACCTAAATGCCTGGTTGATAATGTACATTATCAGCCCCATTTGCCCTATTCATTTAGTCTAATCTCTTCCCTTAGAATGAAGGTCTGAGGTCTCTTCATTCTTAGGTAGTGATCAATAGTCCACCCTTCGGTGGAAGACATTTTTCAAAATGTACAGTGCTTAACGCGGTTAGAAAAGATAAGCATTCTGACCTTGAAGGAAAGCTCATCTTCATTCTCCCCGTGGAAATCATATAAGGCTTTGGCCTTCCTCCTCTTCGGTGCGATAGCAGACATACGTTTTGCCTCAGCTGTGAAGATACCAAAAAACTCAAATATATAGAAAAACACTGGACTAAAACACAAATCAAACATTTTGAAAAACCCCCTTGTCAGTCTTGGAACAGAATATTTTCTTCTTTTCCGGCAGCTGGTCGGTATGGGGATCCAAACCCTCGATCTTGGTGTTACCAGACCTGTGCTCTAACCAAGTGCGTTAACTGACCAGCCCCAGAACATTTGCAATTAATTTTGAGTTTAACTTGCAAAAAGATGAAGTATGTTCTCTTAGCAGGAAAAAATTATACAAAATATATTTAACAGACAAAATTAGCCACTCTTTAAGAAGGCATTTTTATCTTTTTCTATAACTCTAACAAAATATACGAATATATGAATAAATTTTGCATAGCTTTACAAATCAACTCTTTCAAATGTAGCAAAAAACAAACTGAGTATGGCCAGAGTGAAAAGGAATATATATATATAGTTTCAAAGGTCTTGTTCTGCCCTAGAAGAGTAGTTTGGGTCATGTCTTGTGGCTGTCATACCTGGGCAGGGCCGCACAAAAACTGCTGGGAAGATCCCCTCCCTGTCATGCAGTCTGCCCCTGCACCAGTCAGAGTCCAGACGCTCCAGAAGCAGGATCCGGTCCCCCCTTTTGAAGGATAAATCATCACTAGTCTCTGCTGTAAAACTGTGAAGAGCTTCACACCATTCTCCAGAAATACTGTTATCCTGTTACAAATCAGAAGTTTGGTAAGAAATGTGAGTTTTTATTTGAAACTGAATTCTACAAAGCTTAAAAAGTGGTGGGGAAAAAAAGCTAAGGGGTCATAAGATTTCGAAGCCGTCTCTATCAAGTTTCAGAAATAAAAGTTTCCATTAACTTTATTCTTAAAATATAATTCTAAATGACAAGTGTGAAAGAATCTGCGCCTTTTCTGCTTTTAGGGGATTCATGAGGGAACTTCAAAAAGTTCACGGAAAAACAGAATTAAAAGATCATATGAGTCTTTCTGTGAACTCTTTGAAGTACCCTTGTACAATGCTTAAGAAAAAACTTTTCCCTTATTATGACTTATTATATTAGTTATATTAAAAAATTAGGTAAAAGCATAAAATTAGTTATGCATAGTATTTGACACTATGAAAAAATTATGATAAATTATCTAATATTCAGTGAAGCTCTTCTTTATCTAAAAAGATAAAAGAAGATAAAAAAAAGATAAAAGATTAAGAAGGATCAGAATGGGAAGTCTGTTAAATCCCAGGTCTTTATTTGATTCAGAAACTACCAGATTCCATGGCATAGGACTTCGTTAATTTACGCTTTTAATTTTATGAGGTGTAGTTAACTCTAAGGTTGTCAGGATAACCACCCAAACTGATGGCCTAGCTAGGATGATGCAACGCTCCAACAAAAATGCTTTTTCCCCAAACACATCAGAGGAAGGTTTTGTTCTGTGAGGAGGCATCTCTGCCAAGCTCGGGATGGGAACCCTGTGCTGAAGAAGCACAAGCAGGTGGCAGATGATGATGACAACAGCAAAGGCTTTGGAGCCAGACAGGCAAGGGTTCCAGGCCCCGCTCTGAACTCCCTCGCTGTGTAACACTGGGCAAGATGCTTCTTTTCCTGAGCCTCAGCTTCATCTTAGGGTTGCTGTGAGGATTAAATGAGATGATGCATGTGTCTTGCACATCTTAAGTTCTCAATAACTGATGGCTTATAAAACAAAAGCAAAAAACAAGCAAGCAGAAAACCCTAACCTTAGCCCTCCTGCTCCTGCACTTGAATAACCAAACTGAAAGAATGGAACTGATCACTCCCCCAAAATGCAGGCAACACGTGAACATTTCCTTTTGGAGAACTGTAGTCAGTTTCTTTTCTGTTTGACTTTATCAGTGGGTGGGGATGAAAGAATTAAGAGACACACAGTCCAATTACAAGTGACAATTTGACAAAAAAAAAAAAAAAAATGACCCCATCAGGCTGACTTTTCTAAATATGTCACAAAAAACACAGAAGTCTCCACATTCCTATTACATTTAAACACTTCTGGAGTCATGTTATACAGTGTAAAAATTTTATTCCAGTTTTTTCTCTTTCTCACAATAAAAATAATACAAATATTCCTAAACATTTGGAAAGTTCAGAAACATATAAAGAAGTGGGAAAAAACCCCATCCACACATATAATCTTACTAGAGGAAATTTAATGTTAACAACTTAAATATATTTCCTTCCAGTCTTTTTATGCTACATATTCAATTTTATATCATCTTTCCCTATAGCATATGCTTTCCTCCCATGACATTTATTTATAAATCTAGTTTTCATGGCTTCACAACATTCTTCCAATAATCCCCCTATTTAGGTTGTTTCCAATTTTTTCCTATTATACTAACACCACTATGACTACCTTTGTAAGTTAAACCTTGTCTCATTTTTTATCCTTTTCTTAGGGTAATAAAAAAAAAAAGAGAAAATGCAGATTATTATTTAACACTCACATGCTTATAACTATTTAATGTTGAATTGTACTGAATCTTTGTTAAATGGTATTTCATTGCTGATTTATTATTTATTTCCTTGATTGACTAGTAAGGTTAAATATTTTTTTAATATTAGCCACTTATTGTATCTCTTTTATGAACTCTTCAATCACGTCTCTTTCCTCATTTTCTATCAGGGTCTTCATGTTCTTTGTATGAGCTCTATATACAATAAATATATTAACCATCTAATTTATTGCAGACACTTGCCCTATGAATTGAAAAATGATTTCATACATTTTCACTTGATAATTATGATTTTAAAATTCCTCCCGGGGTTTAAACCTGGCTGTCACTATAATTATCTATGCAAGCAGCCTACCTGAGAATCTGAGCCAGCATCTTCTTTTTTGGTCTTCAGTGGTATCTTTGTGCCTCCATTAAAGGAAAATAAAAAAAAAAAAGATCAAATGTAAAGACCATATAGCATTAAAGATAAACTGTTGGGTAGGGGGATGGGAGTGAAAAGTCTGGGGTTGCAGACCAGTCTCACCATGTACTGGCTGTATTACCTTGACATGTACTGCCTTCTCTGGGCTTATTTACTTAATTGTAAAGTGAAGAAGGATAAACATTAGTTACACTCTATGGTCCATTTCTGTTTAAAATCTTTGCCATTTCTCTTCTCTTTTTTTAGCAGCTGGCCAGAACAGGGATCAAACCCTGGATCTTGGTGTTATTGGCACCACACTTTAACCAACTGAGCTAACTGGCTAGCCATGCTAATTACATAAAACACCAAAACCAACTCTTTGAAAGATGACCACAATAACGACTATCCCACACAAATTACCATTTTAAAATCATTTTTCCATCTACCTTAAAAAATATGGCAATATAGATGATTAAGCATCTTAAGTATTATCCTATTATCTGGTTTATTTGATTTAGGACATGACATAATAAAAACCCATATACTCTATACTCACTTAAAACATTTGCACCAGAGGTGGGATAATCCTCAATAAGTTCCACAAAGTTAAGTGGGAAAATCCCAGTTCTGTCTCGAAGTTCTCCTCTCGCCCATTCCTCATTCACATACTCTTTGAGAATAATAATTTCTCCCTCTGAGAAGCTTAACTCATCCTTCTGGTCGCCAATATATTCAAACCGAGCAACACACCTTAGGCCTCTGAACAAAAATAAACACATTTGTGGGTTAGAGAGTACCAACTTTTAAAATGCTTTAAAACCTCCATTCAGTCTTTCAGTAAATATTTATTCTGTGTTTACTACAGAACAAGATGTACTAGGCTAATTTTAAAATTTTTCATGAAAGAGAATAAGTTATTATACTTCTATTTTTTTTCTCTTTTAATGTAATTTTATTAATATTATTTTTTACATTCTATGATGTTGTTGCAGAGCAGTTGGGAGGGAGAGGGAGAAGGGAAAGGGGAAGGAAATGGGATGGAAGAAGGAGGAAGGAGGAGGGGCAGGACTGAGGCCTGTGGCACCCCCCACATTCCCACAGGGGAGACCAGGGGGCTTCCAGTGGTGGCTTGGTCATTGCCGGGTTCAGTGCAGATGTCAAGGGGGTGTAGCAAAAGCCCTCACCCCCCACCATCCCAGCTTGGAAACCTGGAGCCCTTCCTGCTGCAGCTTGGCGGTTGTTGCTGGGCTGGCTGCAGGTGTCAGTGGGGCATGGCCGAGGCCTCCCACTGTCCCGGCTCGGGAGGGCCCAGGGTAAAGTTATACTTCTAAATGACAGTGCTTATATTTTAGATATGAACCTATTCACACAGAAAGGCTAAAGTTCAGTGTCACAGAGTACATGCAGAATTCCAGATCAGCAGCTGTGTGGCCAGTTTACACTGGCACATCTTTTAATCACCTTTACTTCATTAAAGAATCTCTCCAGTCTCCACGTGTTTGTATCCTTGGGCCACAGCAATCCGTGGCCCAGTCTGAACCCTTTCAGTCATCAGTGCATTGAGCTTAGGAGTGCTCAAACCTGAGAATCTCAGAACAAGACATCAAACTTCCTAATCAAGAATCAATGCAAAATGCAATGGGCATCAGCTGGGCAGAGTAGATGCTTGAATATATGCTGAACCAATTAGAGATGAATATATAGATGAATGGCCTTAAAAACTAGGAAAATTTTTGAAGAAAACAGAAACTTGGCTTATCATAACACATAATCTTATACTTAATTCTGTTACTTTTTAAAATGATTTTTTTTGTGTGGTGCTGATAACACCGAGGTCCAGGTTTGATGCCTGTACCAGTCAGCCACCAAAAAAGAAAAAAGTAAAAATAATTTTTTGTATCTCCTTTAAAAAGTCTTCATTTCTGAGACTTGGAATATTCCTTAAGTGATCTGCAATTTTGACTAAAAACAAGATAGAAATGGAGATAAAAATTCTGTCTCTAGAAGGTATGATTTAATACCAAACCTTTGAGGCTTTAGAAAGGAGGTTACAATAGCAGCAGGCTAAGGAGAAGCAATTGCCTAAGAGAAAACATTGTTCTTAGTTCCAATCAAATTCTGATTTAAGTCAGGTCAATGGATAAACGGCTGTGGAAGCCCACTTTAAATTCAACCTGCTGACACAGTATACTCCCCTTAAAAATAGGAGAAAAATTGAACCTGAAATAGAATTGAACTATTGTGGCATCAGAAATTTCTCTATGTGTGATAACCTTTGCATTTATTTTCTAAAGTCCTCTGGGAACATCTCCTTATGTCTGACCTATTCATAGACAGGTTTACAGTCTTCAGCATGTAGTGAATTCTATTAATTTGCTCATTTAACTAGAATATAAAGTTGCATTGTGGCAGTGTTTTAAATCACAAAGGAGTTACAACGATGCATAAAAGGGTTTATAAATTTATGGAAAGGTCCTCAGACATAGAGGAAGACCCTTTCAGCTTAACTCTTCCTTCACTTTCTTCTAGTGGCTTCTAAAAACAAAACAATACAAAACGTCTAGCAGTTTTTGTAGGATTCATATTTCTATAAAATGGAAATATTTTCCGTGACAAAAATTCTTCCTTCACTTTCTTCTAGTGGCTTCTAAAAACAAAACAATACAAAATGTCTAGCAGTTTTTGTAGGATTCATATTTCTATAAAATGGAAATATTTTCCGTGACAAAAATATTTAAACCTTCTAAAAACTTGTTGGTAGATAAATACCAGAAGGCCAAAATAAAATGCACTGGATGACAAACCATCTCTGTTCAAGCTGAGGCCAGGCTATGGGAAGCATCTGGACAGACTCTGCTCTGCGGCCATCTGTATGTCCTGTACTGATATGGAGAGTTGCTCAGGGCAGCTTCCATTGGCATGTTGTGTTTTCATCAAATGTTGGTTCACTGTTGCTTTTCAAACAAGTAAAGTTTTCCTCATAATTAAAGGGACACACTGAGAACCTGAATAATCACACAGTTGACGTGTTTAAGCTTGATAATTTATCATGATATAAACGCTAGCCTCCTTTGTATTTTGTGCAAAAGAATACAAATAAACTTACTTAACACAATGAGATGAAACTGATTTTCTTTTCCCATTTCCTCCTTCTGGAATATCAATCTAGTAAAGACAAAATCAAGGTAGCAATTATATTTTTTCATATGTTAGTAACATAAATTTGAGGCTTAGTAATTAGAAAATGCAAGATAGAAATTAATCCGTTTAGCAAAGTGTTAAACTGATTAAGTGGTACTATAGGCGCAAAACAGTAAGAAATCCTGAATTTGAGTTTTGAAAAAAATGTACATCTTGTGACGTAACCTACCCTCAAGCGGCCAATCAATCCTTCCCTTATTTGCTGGAATAAGCATATTCATATCACGCTAGCTCTGACCAAGTTTTCTCTATCCCAAGCTCTCCCAGTTGGATACTTCACCTGAGAAGGACCAGGCACTCACGCTGTCCCATACCAGCACCAACACACCTACTCAAAGTGTTGGTAGGGTTCTGCAAGACTCACCTAACCCCACAATAAAACATTTTAATCAAACTCTCCATATTCATAACTCTGGAACATTTGTTTCCCTTTAGTGGGAATATGGACAGAAGAAAGGAATCCGTACTTAGTGAGTACCTACTAAGTAGCCAGCACTTTATAGAATCCTTCTTCTGCAAGGCTCAGTACAGCCGGGTTGTAATAAAATATTTGGCCATAATGCATGCAGTCTGAAACACAAGGCTTTGAGGTTTACATTAAATAAATAAGTGCTCTTCTTGATGAATTCTAAAAGTTAGTTTTAAAACTATTTTTTAAACTTGTGTGCTTAGAAATAACACTTATCCAATAATGTGGCAGATTCAATGTGATTGACTTCAGTGCGGTAATTGTGCTTTAAGAAAAATGAGGAAGGGGCTGGCCATTTAGCTCAGTTGGTTTGAGTGTGGTGTTCAGGGTCAAGCGTTTAGGTCCTCATACCAGCCAGACACCAAAAAACGAAAAGGGAAGAATGATGAAGACTGCTAAAACTGACATTATTCTTAACATTAATTTAGAGAATGTATATAGTTGACTTTCTCCAAAGAATCACAGCATATATGCACTGGACAATTTTTAAGACCTACATTTTGTAACCCAAAAGACTCAAACTCATTTCTATTTGAAAAATGCAGATTTTCTGTTATTCTTATTTTCTAAGAATTCTAACGTCATAGAAAATTATTTGCTTTTTTCCTTCCAGATAAGCTGTTAATGCTAACTATTTAAGCTAACTTTATTGATATTTCATAGCATCATTAAGTTACATCAGGGGCTGAGTCATACTCTTCCTATTGATACAAATATTCAAAGGGCAGTCTGATTTATTTTATTTCTTTTTTGTGGCTGGCCAGTACAGGGATCTGAACCCTTGACCCTGGCGTTATCAGCACTGTACTTTCCCAAGTGAGCTAACCCAGCCAGCCAGGGAAGTCTGATTTTATCCCCATGTTTCACAGCCACCTGGGCTTAGCAAGTAAAGCTCCAGCACATGGGTGTGCTTTCACAAGTTAGGCCATGAGGGTATATAAAATTCTTATGCTTTAATATAATTTCCCCAATCAGATTTGAAATTATTGTGTAAAACCATTAATGGACCACTACCTCCAAAATAAACTGTTTTAGTATTCCCAAATTGATTTTTTTTTTAAGATAGAGATAAATGTGGATGGAAAAGATGAAAGAAACTAAAAATAAAATGCACTCCAAAGAAAAGAAGTGGTACCATAGTCTCAGAGAACATCCTTTCAGGACAATTTGGTACCACTTAATTCATGTTTACTAAAGGTCTCAAAGAATTAACATATATCCTTAAGAGCTTAACAACCCTCAAAGAATAGCTGATTCAGCCACTGACTTGGGTGGTCTTTCACTTTAGGGTTTCACATAGCACTTAGGCATTAAGTTCTAATAACCATAATATACTAATAATTAACAATTATCTAGTTGAACAAATACTTATTTCCGAATTTTCCAAATGCCAAATGAATCAACGAAAGAGAGAGAACTAGAACCCAGGAATCTTGGCATCTGGTTATATTTTTCCAGTTCGCAAGTCACATACAACTAGAACCCACTGAGTATGTGACCAGCTAAAATAAGCACAACCCACTTACAATTACTTTGACGTAGTTGGAAGGAAATATGCCAGTCTGGTTTCTACATTTCCCTCTGTACCAATCTGTATCTATCTTTTCCAGAAGATAAACTATTTCTCCAGAAGTGAGGTTCAAATCATCAACTTGCTCTGTAATGTAAAATTATAGTTACTTATAACGAATTATCCTGGTTGCAGATTTAACTAAAGTAGAGCACAAAGTACCATTTAGTTCTGTCCACTGAGGCAATATGTTCTACTGATTCTGAGAACAGATTATACTAACCAAATAGGCTTTTAAAAAAATACTATTCTTTTTTTGAATATTGTTGTTATGAGCTCCCTTTTAAGACCAAATTAGATATATTTACCATGCATTAGTTGATGGGAAATGGTTAAAAAAACCCCATCGTGCTAGCCAGTGTTTCCTGCTGTGCCAATGTAAACCCCTTACTGAATACACATTGAACAATGAAAGGGCTTTATAGACATGGTATACTATTCTTATGATTATTCTCAATCATGCTTAAAAACCATTTATTTACTAAGGGAGTACTATAGCTCTTTAGAGGAATTAAGTTTACCCACACTAGAATAAAAATCAGTCTACCAAGTGGATAAAAAGAGGTTGTAAATAAATCAGGAGTTTATTTTATCTGTAGCCTTGATTATGAAGGGTATTTAAAACATAATTACAAAAAGAATTATACTTTGGTCTCATAGGTAAATAGTAGCTGAGACAACTCTAAGAACAAAAGGACCTCACTTATTAAACTAGAATTAACTTCATTACAATTGTTAATTCGTACTGACTATTTTGAAAGAGTTAAAAAGAGCAACTGGTGGGTAATTCGCTATTGTTCATTTGTAAGGGAAACTCAGGGAGTTTCAAAGGCAAGCGTATGCAGCCAAGCTTTCTGAAATGGTTGGGTGCAATCAACTCTTCCTGCAGGTGGAGGGATAGAGAAGGTGACACCTCTAGTCTAGGACTCTTTAGGCACAGAAAATGAAGAAAGATGTCCTTGAGAGGCGAACCCAGGAAGGGGGCCTTGCTCCTAGCTATGGCTCTTTATGTCGTACCTGCTGGAAAATCATGAAGAACGACAGCATGAGGAGCACTGCTGTCAACAGGCTTCTGAGCGTGGCCTGGAGCCTTAGGGAGAAAAACAGGGCTGTGAATGAAGCGTGCAGGATACATGCTGGGTTTATCATTCACGCTGAGACCATTTCTTTTTTTTTTTTCTCATTAGAGTCCTCTTTATGCAATTACATTAAAAGTACAGGATGCAAACCACACACACTTAAGTCAAACAAGGCAATCATTATCAAGTTGAAGACAAATGTGTCCTTGTCAGGGAAGGACAGAAGTAACTCTCGATTTTAATATCCCCCAGCATGCTTTTGTTTTTTTAAACTGAGAGAATAAAACAAAAGGGAACTGTTTAACTTTTTTCCTTTTAAACAGTACCTATTCTATCCTAAAGTAATGGTTTTTTATCTCTTTCCTTTTCAAGGTGTAGCTTTTTTCCTTATACTATGATCAGGACTAAAGAAGAGAGCCTTAAAAGTTGTGTCTTTATTATGATGGGAAAAGAAGAAAGCTCCGCGATTTATGCTCTTAGCCTTTTGTAATGAAAGGAGTTAATGACTTTCCACAAAGGTATAATTCACAAAAAGTAAAATCCACTTCATTTATTACCACTTAACTGAATACTTTCTCTAATCTGAAAGTAATGCCACCTCCCATGCCTAGCCTAGACTTTCTATCTAATCTGAATGGTTTTTTCAACAGGAATTCTAAGTAAATTAGCAAAAAGAACCTAATATTCTCTACCCATCTAGCCAACTGCCTAGATTGGCTAGAGGAGAGGGTTAAGCTGAAGAATAACCTTTTCTTATTCTCTTTATATGGAGAGGCTTATTTATATTGTCATCATCAGCAGCAGCAGCAGTAGCAGCGGCAGCATCATAAAATCCAACTAAAGGAATTATTTGGAGTTATTAACTTAAAAATCTCCAATACTAGCAAACCTGTGAAATACATGAAGGTAGACTTTTGTGCCCCTTCTTGTCTCTTCACCTCCATCAATGACTCTCATCCCCTCAGGGATATCCCGACCCTTCTGTACCCCTGCCCTCCCCCGGCCACGACGTCCTGGGTTCATGATACTGCACTGCCAGTACCAGGCCACTTCCTATGTTTCCACCTGCAGCACCTTTGCTCAGATCTTTTCTGAATCTCACCCACTCTTTCAACCAAAATGCACCTGCAGAGGAAAAGTGTATTCTTTCAAGTTAGGTAAACTGAAATATAACTTATGTCAAGATAGTAATGGCTAATGCAGCTTATCAAGGTAACACTAACATTTTCTTATGAACTGTTTCAATGTTTTCGCCTAAATAAATAAATAAGCAACATAAGAACTTCAGGGGCCAGCCCGGTGGCGCACTGGAGAGTGCGCCGCTTGGGAGTGTGGCGGCGCTCCCGCCGAGGGTTCGGATCCCATGTGGAGACCGGTTCCCGCTCACTGGCTGAGCGCGGTGCGGGCACAACACCGAGGGTTGCGATCCCGTTACCAGTCAGTAAAAAAAGACAAAAAGGAAAAAAAAAAAAAGAACTTCAGAAATTGCGGAAAGGAACTGTGAGATATTTTAGGTCTGGAATAGCTTATTAAAAATTATTATTTACATAATTTATTATATGTATACATGAGTGCTTTTCATTTTTTTCTGATTTACACCTGTGGAGAAAGGAATGATGATTCAGTAAATGGTGTTAGGCTAGGTGACCATATGTCTGGGAAAAATGAAGTCCGAAACCTACCTCACACCAAACACAAATATGAATCTCCAAATGGACCTAAGATCTAAACATAACCAAGCCTGGGAGGGAGGGGAGGACAGTGATTTGTGCCTTCCAATTACAGTTTCCTGTCTCTGCCTTCAATGTATGCATATCCTTGGCAATGCTGCTCATCAACCTGGCCCGGCAGGTGCAGGGCAAAAGGAACAGGCTAGACAGGGTCACCCACAAGGGGTCAGTACAACTCAGACCATGTCAGCAGGGTGGGTATCTGCTAGGTAAATCTAATGTATTTCAAAGGTTTTTCTAACATGACTATAATTGCTAATACAAACGGTATTATAATGACAAGATTAGCTAATATTTATTGTTCACTCACTGCATGCTATTCACATTTTTTTTTTGTCCTTTTTGTGACTGGTAAGGGGATCGCAACCCTTGGCTTGGTGTCGCCCGCTCCGTGCTCAGCCAGTGAGCACACCGGCCATCCCTATATAGGATCCGAACCCACGGCGGGAGCACCACTGTGCTCCCAGCGCCACACTCTCCCGAGTGTGCCACGGGGTCGGCCCCTATTCCCATTTTAAACATCCTGTATGGGCCGGCCCAGTGGCGCACAGTGCGCCACTTGGGAGCGCAGCGGTGCTCCCGCCGCGGGTTCGGGTCCCACATACAG